GAAGAAGGCCCGAAACGTCAGCTTTCCTGCTCCTCGGATGCTGCTTGGCCTGCTGTGTTCATTCAGCACTACACCTTGTTATCTCAGATTCTCCAGCATCTGCAGTTCCTACTATCTCTGAAACACCTTTTAAAATTATGCCCCCTTGTAATAGTCATTTCAGCCCCAGGAAAAAGTTTCTGCCTATCCACTCTATCTGTGCCTCTCATCATCTTGTACACCTGTATCAAGTCACCTCTCATCCTCCTTCACTCCAATGAGAAAAACCCTCGCTCTCTCAACCTTTCCTCATAAGACCTGCCCTCCAGTCCAGCATCCTGGTAAATCTCCCCTGCACCCCCTCTAAAGTTTCCACATCCTTCCTATAATGAAGCGACCAGAACTGAACACAATATTCCAAGTGTGGTCTAACCAGGGTTTTATAGAACTGCAGCATAACCTCGTGGCTCTTAAACTCAATTCCCCTGCCAATGAAAGCCAACACACCATACACCTTCTTAACAACCCTATCAACTTGGGTAGCAACTTTGAGGGATCTATGGACGTGGACCCCAAGATCCCTCTGTTCCTCCACACTGCCAAGAATCCTGCCACTAACCCTATATTCTGCATTCAAATTCGATGTTCCAAAATGAATCACTTCACACTTGAAAGGTAAATGTGAGATATTGTATTGTGATTCTCTTTACCAAGTCACTCACAAGCACTCTATGTTTACTATCCCGCATTTCCATTCATTCATTCATTCATTCATTCGTAAAACCACGTTTTTGTAGTACATTTTACTCTTACAAGATAAACTAACTTAAACATCCCTTTCAACCCATAATATTTTTCTACACCTTTCAATCCTTATTGGCCCCATGCTGCACGCACGTTTAGACCTGTTTCTGCGTCAAAGGCTATCCCTGAATAAGTGTTAATACTGTAACCTACTCAAAATAATGCCATCCCTGCCATTGCGTCTCCATAACTCACTCAAAACTGTGGAAAGATTATAATATTTATTAGCCCTTAGTAACCGTATCACGGGATCTGAATAGGTTGCAAAACATCAGACGGTTTCCTCCACTATTATGTACTTTTTAAATACATATTAAATAGGGCTGTTACCTCCTTTAAGAAACATACTATTAAAACAGCGCTTCTGTGAAACTGCATGAATGAATGTGTAAGAACTGTCAAAACCGGCAACAGTAAATGAAATCTCACAACCCAGCTGTGGAAGATCTGTTTAATATCCTCTATACTTGTATTTAGTACACGTATAATCTCTCACTTATTTAGATCATAGAGGTCTAGTATTTTTACTAACATTACTCACTTTAAAGAGAAAAGGACTAACACCTCTTAATTATGCAAGCTTAGACCAGACAGAAATTCTAATCCCAACAGGAGTAACAGCCAAAATTTAGCAAGTGTTCAAACATCCCCTGTTTCCCCAGGCCAGATGCCACGCAGACCTGTATTCAATGGATACAACTATTTGACACCATAATGCTAAAATTTTAATATATGTAAAAACTGTACTTTGGATTCCATCGCCACCTCTAACTGTGCTACTGCGGATGCTCAATAAAGAGGCTATTTTCGTCACTCACCAATCTCGGTCGTTATTGAACACGATCCCACACAAGAAATACTTAGCTTCTCACTGTCCAGGTGTTCATAGTTGCACAGTCTCGGCCTCCGTTGACTTTGTCCTGCTTGTAGTAGCTGTTGGCCCCTAATTTGGTGGCAGCTTCAGACAAAAATTCACTATCTAGGCATCAGAAAGGACAAAATGTCTATAATTTCCTGATCAATGCTTGATTCGGTACTCTTTCTTGAAGGTGGGGCTGGTGGAGTTGGTCGATGTTAAAGGTTCCTGTTATGTATTTAGTGCAGAAGGTATTAAAATTCCGGCCAGTGTTCCAGTTTGATTGAATTATTGTTAGCACATATAGCAAGATACAGTGTTTAAGTATTGTTTTGCATGCTATACAGGCAAATCTCTCCATACAAATTACATCAGAGTAGCAGAAAATAGAGTGCAGAATACAGATTGATGACTTTTAGTAGTTTGGAATTTGTAATTTCTTATGGTAATATTATGAATTCCAAGTGTGTACTGTATGGAGTAATACATGTATTTCATATCTGGTTGGAAGGTTTAACATGATTTCCGTTTTTCCTCAGTGGCATGTCGGATACGATCATCCTTGATATCATTTCCAACTATTTGGTTTTGCCCAATCGGATCACAGTACCACTGGTTGATGAGGTGCAGCTGGCTGAATTGCGTTTTCCTGTACCGAAAGTAAGTCTCAGTGCGCTGACTGGTCGTGCGCTGACTGGTCAAGCACTGACAATTTGTGAACAACTGTAAAATCCTGTGTTTATTTTAAACTGAAGGATTTAATTTGTTTAAATTATTGTTTAACTTCAGAAAATTGATAATGTAACCATTACCTGTTAACAAACATGCCATAGCTGACGAATGAACCTGTAGAACAGGTCAAAGCAGAGGAAGAGTGCAAAGTCATGGGAACAATTGTTCTAGCAGAGTTATAATAGCTGTAATGAGCCAAAAGGTCTTCTGTACTGTTAACAACAAGGAAAGCATATGAATTTTAACTGCTTGGGCGGATGTGTAGCAGAATGAGCAAATTATCATTTGGCTTTGAACAGAGTTAAAGTGGTTTGCCTAAGCCTTTATGCGTTACTTCGCTTGTGAAAGGCATTGCAGTCTTATCAGGGTTCACTCTTGGTTCCTCCAGGAGCCCATTGGAAAATCTCAAAGCAGATTATGGGTTTCTTTTGGTAATTTATATCTTTTTTATTAGACAAACTCCTGTCTTAGTTTGAGATATTTATATTAGAAAGTGGATGATAAAAATCTCATTGAGGTAGTAGAAGCAGTTGAAATGGATCGCAGACTTGACAATTGCTAATTGTTTTGGGCCTTTGAGAGGTTAAAATGACATACCTGGGACCTCTCATCAAAATAGAAAAATTTTCATTTTGCCATTCACAACCACAGGATTTTCCAAAGCTCTTTTGACAGCCAATGAAGTGTAGTCACAGTGGTAAAGTTGGAAGTGCAGCAGGCAGTTTGCCTGCAACAATGAATAATGACCAAGCAATCTGTTTTTGTAAGGTTGATTGAAGGATCAGTATTGACTGGTTAACTGTCCTATTTTTCATTGAAATATTGTCCTAGGATCTATAATGGAAAATGTGAGGGCAAACAAAACTTCAGTTCTAGCGCATGACAGTTCCAAAACTGTAGCGCTCACTCAGTATTGTGTTAGAGTTTCAGCCTTAATTTGTGTGCAGAGGTCCTGGAAGTTGCAACAACAGCATTTGCTATCCTCACACAGATTGAAATGGTCAGATTGGCAGAGGTAACCATGAGGGACAATTCATAGTGTGAGTTTGTGATAGTTTCCTAGAACAGTATATTGTGAATCCAGCTAGGGATCAGGCTGTTTTGAATCAGATGATCTGTAATGAGGTAGATTTAATAAATTATATCATAAAAGATCCTCTAGGAAATAGTGACCATAATATAGTAGAACTTAACATTCAGCTTGTGAGGGAGGAGCTTGGGTTGGAACAAATGAGCTAAGTTTAAATAAGGGTAATTACAAATGAATGATGGTACAGCTAGCTGGAGTTGACTGGGAAAAGAATTCAGCAGCAAGGACGATTAAAGATAAACGATAGACAGTTTCAAAAAAAAAGCACATGGCCCATATCAAAGATATATCCCAGTGAGAAAGAAGGATTCTAGGAAAGGGATAAACCAACCATGGTTATCCAAGGAATTTGAGGATAGCTTCAAATTGAGTGGAAAAGCATACAATGTGGTAAAGATTGGGAAGGTTCTAGAAACCATCAAAAAATAACCATTGCCAATTGTTGGGAAAACTGTTCTGATTCATTAATATTCACTAATAAACTGCCATTCACAGCAATCTGGTTGACTTAAAACTGCCCCCTGTCTTGCTAGGCCATTTCATTCAGTTTGTAGCAACTACTAAGGAAAATAGTAATATAAATGGGTGGACCACCTGACATCAACTAAGGCATCCTCAACAGCAACAGTCCTGTCAACCCTGCAAACTCCTCTTTACTAACCTCTGGAGGCTAGTGCCTGAATTGGGCGAGCTGTCTCACAGATTAGTCAAAAAAACAGCCTGACCTAGTCATACTCGCCTTATACAAAATATCCCAGACAAGACCATCACCATCCCTGTGGATGTGCCCCATCCCTACCGAATAGGACTGGCCCAGAAGAGGTGGAGGCACAGTAGTGTACAGTTGGGAGGGACTTCCTTAGGAGTCTCTACTCTGGATCTGATGAAGTCTAATGGCGTATGGTTAAACAGACAAGAAGTCGCCTCCTTACTAACATGTCCCCTTCACCACTTCAGCTGATGGCTCTGTGCTTTGCCATGTTGAACAGCACTTGGAAGAAACACTAAGGGTGGCAAGCTTACCGAATGTACTCTGGGTGGGGGGAGTTGGGTGCCCATCACCAAGACTGTCTTGACGGCACCACCACTGACTGAACTGGTTGAGTCCTAAAGGACGTAGCTGCTAGGCTGGGCCTACAGCAGGTGACCCTGGAACCAAAAAGAGGGAAAGCATACTTGATGTCATCCTTACCAGTCTTCCTGCTGCAGATGCATCTATCCATCACAGTATTGGTAAGAGTGACCACTACTCCTTGTGGAGATGAAGTCCCATCTTCAAATTGAGAATAAGCTGTGGACCATCAGCAGCGGTTGCATTGTACTCCAACACAATTGCCTGGCATATCTCTCACTCTACCATTACCATTAAGGTTAAGACTATTAAGACCCTGGTTCAGTGAAGAGTGCAGGAGGGCATGCCAGGAGCAGCACCAAGCATACCTAAAAATGAGATATCAACCTGGTATAGTGTCAAAACTGGACTACTTGTATGCCAAACAGCATAAGCAGCAAGTGCTGAACAGCCAAGTGATTTCACAGCTAAAGGATCAGATCGAAGGTTGACAGTCCTGCCACATTTGGTCATAAAAGATGGTGGACAATTAATGGACAAATGGATATTTTGGGAAGGCAGTCTGTAACAAGTGGAGTGCCAAAGGGATCAGTGCTAAGGCCACAATGATTTTATATATTTTCTTGACTTGAATTAGGAAAGTGAGTGTAGTACAGCCGGGTTTGCAGATGACACAAAAATTGGCAGGAGGGCAAGTGGTAAGAATGACAGAGTCAACAGAAGGATTGTGGATAGGTAAAATGCCCTTCTTATCCCAATTCGCTATTTTCTATAAGTTAGTCAGTCCTCTATCCATGCTAATATACTACCTCCAACACCATGGCCTCTTATCTTAAGTATCCCAATGTTTGGTACCTTATCAAATGCTTTCTGAAAATACAAATAAATTATATCTATTGCTTCCCATTTATTCTGCTTGTTACTTCCTCAAAGAATTCTAGTAAATTTTAAACCTGTTGTCAGAAAGAATTTGCAGGAGATTCCATGACTCCTTTCACAGTTCCATTTTACCTCCCATTAAACAATTCCAAAGTGAAGCTTTTATCAAACTGGTCGTCAATCATTATTGTTTGATGCATGGAATTCCATTAGCATGACTCTCACCTTCTTGCTTTGTCCTGGTGAAGTATGTTTTGCATGAGCCGTATATGTAATTTTCAGTCCTAGATTTGGGCTGAGTTAATCTCAGACAGGGACATGCTGTTTTCATTGGCATCCCTTTGCTAGAAAGAGAATGTTCAACTAAGATTGTCACACTGTTCAGTGAAGTATCCTCAAAGTGGGTGCATGAAGTATAGATTAGATACTTCATGCACCCACTTTGAGAAATTCAAGGTCAACAGCAATATCTCATCTGTTCATTTCTGCTAATCACTGTTAAACCGTACTTAACATCATGACAAGAGGAAACATGGAATAGAGAAAGCATGAGAATCGTTCTGGACAAGGCTGTTGCGACAAATACTGACCAATATAATCGCTTTCCTTTGATCTCTTGCCTCCTCCCTGAGAATCAAAAGTCGGAGTATATGTGATCTGTGATTAAGGTTACATGATAGCTGATATTTTTGGGGTGGCACGGTGGCTCAGTGGTTACTACAGCTGCCTCACAGTGCCAAGAACCCGGATTCAGTTCCACCCTCGAGCGACTGTCTGTGTGGTGTTTGCACGTTCTCCCAGTGTTTGCATGGGTTTCCTCCGGGTGCTCCGGTTTCCTCCCACAGTCCAAAGATGTGCAGGTTAGGTGAATAGGCCATGCTAAATTGCCCACAGTATCCAGGGATGTGCCGGCTAGATGGGATAGCCACAGGAATGGGGTAGGGGGTGTGGGTCTGAGTGCGATACTCTTCAGAGCATCAGTGTGGACTCAATGGGCTGAATGGCCTGTTTCCACGTCAGAGTGATTCTATTCTTGGAATTCTTCAGTAAAATTTCTTACTTGTAATCTCTCTTTAAAGTACTCTGCAATTATTTTGCTGGTTTATATATTTTAATGAAATTTATTTATGTTTCACCATTTGTGTTCTGCCATTTATTAGGGGCTTTTGAGAATACACTTCATTGAAGCTCAGGATCTGCAATGGAAGGACAAGTTCATGAAGGGACTTGTGAAAGGAAAATCTGATCCATATGGTATTCTGTACATTGGTAACCAGATGTTCCAAAGTAAGACTATCAAAGAAAACCTTAATCCAAAATGGAACGAGGTCTATGAGGTAACCATCCTTGCATAAGAAGCTAAACTAATTATTTTTTGTGCAGGTCTAGGTAATATTCCATTGTTTGACTCTGCCCACACTCCAGAACTCCTCAAACACTTTTCCCGTCACCCAACACTTGGACAGTTTTAACAGCAAGGTTCTCATGACTAACACCAATTGGAAACCCGCTGAAACATGGCAAAGTGGGTTCTCCTGGCACCATATCAAGCTGTGGTGGAGGCAAACTAGTTTAAAAAAGCTAGCTTGCCTTTTTCTTTTCAGCCACCCTAATTTTCTCAAAAGCAAGAGAGTGCATGGGCCTTGATTCTCACCAAAATCTATTATGAGACCAATTAAACACATTGTGGACTTATTAAAAGTCAATCTCTCTCAACTTCTTGAATTTTACCAGAGGATGCCAAGGTGCAATAGTTGTCAGAGCCAGTTAGCTGCATGGACCGAAGGCTGAATTTGAACAGAACTCAGCTAAGTTGTTATTTTTGCAGGATTTCATGGAGGATTCCTCTCCAAAAGCCCAAGCAAAGTTTCTCTTGCTGCCTTACCCAAACTTGCCTCATTGCCAATGCATCATGCCCTTACCTGCTGTAGATGGAAGTACTGGCCACTGTTCAGACAACTTGGGATTTTAGATGCCAATGCCATCTTTAAAGCCCAGCTGTGTACCTAACCAGCACTGGCAGTCCGCAGCTGTCCTGCAGTGTTCCCGTCAGTTGCCCTAGATGTGTAGAGGAGAGTAAAATTAGCATGCCATTTTGCTGATGGGAACTTGGAGGCCCTGGGGTTGGGGGGTGGGTACATGCAGTCGCTGCCCATGGAGCATGTGATTGATGAAGGTGCGGAGGTGTAAGCAGTGAGCTGGAGTGTCAGATCATCACAATGATTTTCAAACTCATCTAGTTTCTAACCAGCAAGAGATTTTGGTCTAGACACTGAAGCCTGTGTCCCTTGAAGAATTTTTTTTTAATATGCAAATATATATATTAAAACATTTGACCTGTTTATCACCATAAACTGAGGTGCTACTGAAATATAACTTTGACAGTAAAGATGTTGGCTTTATCCAGAGCCTATATTGAGACCAAATAGCAAGCATGGACCAAAAGATAGACAAGCAGATATGTTTCCGGTGAAGAGATGTGAACCACAAGGCAGTATCCTATTGCCAAAATTATTCAACCTGTACGCAGAGCAAATATAGGGTCAGGTGTACTTCTGGGTTTAAAGTTATGGGCAAGGATATCACAAGCTTATGATATGCAGATGACACATCAGTACTTGCAGAACAAAAGAAACCCAACAAAATAACATACACACACTTAGAATATGGATTGAGTATGAAGATCAAAAAGACAAAAACAATGGAAACAAGGAATACATGAAAAGAGATAAGTGTGACGATAGAAGTGGATAGTGAAGCAAGTAGATAAATCTGTCTGTTTAGGAGAAACAATAAAAGAAAATGGCAAATGTGATGCTGAAGTCACAAAAGGATACATACAACCAGAAGCAATCTTGTGAAGATAAAAGGTACATCAAATTAAGAAATCTCAAGCTTGGAAAGAATATAAACTCAAGATGCAACATTCTCTCCACTTTGCTATATAAATAGGGGCCTTTGAGATGTGGATGTAATTACATATGATTAAAATTACACACACATACCACAATACAAATGAAGAGGTCCTTGAAAGCGTAAAAGAAAAAAGAACTTATAAAGTGACATTTAGGAAAGAAATTTGGTATTTGGCCACTTGATCACAGCTGAAAACCACAGGGATCTCTCCACAGGACGAAGTGGCGAACAACAGAAAAGAAGAGTTGAATTAAGCATAGCTGGAACATGGACATTACTGAGTGGTTGCAGACCAACTGCAGTGCATATGTGAGGATGACAAGCATCACATAACATGACAACAGATTTCCTGGTGGGAGTCTGCTACAGCAGACTGAATGAGGACGAAGAGATGAAGAACAGCAGCTTATCCAAGCAGGACTGAGTGCTGGGCATCAGGAGACCAGAGGAGAGGGACATGAAGCACAAATGAATAGGAGGCACCACTCTGAGCAGAGGCAAAAATACCTGTCGATGACCAAGAATCAGTGTCAGCAAGATGGTTACAAAGAACTGAGCACCAGTCATTCCTGCAGCATCTCACAGCCAGCTGCACAGGGTTGCATTACCAAAGTGAAGGGTGTCTCTTTACAGATGCTGGGAAACACATCAGGTTCATAACTGGGACATTGCATTGCAGAGGGCACTGGAACCTATGACTTGTAGTGATCTGCTGTACTGTCCATAATATGGACCCTTTGAAGGGTGTGGACCTTGAGGATGGTCATTTTCTGCAAGGTGATAACTCATTGGAGGGAGAGTAGGAGCTAAAGGGGAGTGAATTGGAAGAAAATGGCGATGATTCAGAACAGAGGTGCCTCTGCTATATGGTGTGGTGGCATCCTACAACTCTCCAGAAAGACGACCTCCCTGCTCCTTCACGGAAGCCAGGCCGCTGCTTTCCTTCTACAATTTTAAGTAGTGCAGTGGCAGGCTTTGGCACAATCTTTCTTTCTCATCCAGCGGCTTCAATGACGGCTGCCTTGGATGTCTTTAAACAGTTTAAGTTCTTCTCTCACATGCTTGATAGGATATGAAATCCATCCAAACATCAATGAAGGGCTAACCTCTGGGAATATTGGGAGTCTTCAGGGTTGGAAATTATGGGGCCTGTGGTCTTTTTTCCCAGCTAACAGGTCAGTGGGGAGGTGGCTCACAGTCCTGATCGCTGCCATGGAGCAATTTAAAGCAATGAACAGCATGAATGGTTTTTGTACAGACCAATGATGGTGCAGTGGTAATGTCACTGGACTCATGATCCAGAAGCCCAGGGTAATGCTGCAGGGCCATTTGTTCAAATTTGCTGTGACTCTTAATGGAATTTAAATTATATTAATAATTCTGGAAGTAAAAAATACTCTCTCTGTAATGATGACCATGAAACTATCATTAGTTGTCTTAAAAAAAAACCCATCAGTTTCTCTAACATGCTTTAGGGTAGGAAATCTGTTTTCCTTACTTGGTCTTATTGACATGTAACTCCAGACCCACAGGAATGTAATTGACTTTCAACTGCCCTCAAGTCCTCAAGCAGTCATTCAGTCCATGGGCCAATTAGGTTTGCACAATAAAATCCTGGTTTTGCTGGTGATACATACCATAGAAGAATTTTTTAAAAAGTGAAACTTCTGTATCTATCTCGGGAAGATTTCTGGCAAAATTAATTTGTCAGGTTTTGAAAACACCTAGGGAACAAGAGTATATGCAATTTGCAGTTAAGAATAACATAATCTTTCACAATTTGGATTAAAAGAGCAAATGTGAGTTGGCTTGAAGTTCTGGTTATTCTGGGTCCAAGATAGCTGATAACTTGACATTTTAAGACTTCATGTTAAGGACAATAACCAGGAGCAGCAATGATCCCAATTACTGAACTTTCTGTAAAACAAAGAAACTAAATTAACAAATGACTGGTCAGAAAGTAAGCAACATGGGAGGCTGCAGTAAAAACCGAAAGAACTGCAGATGCTGCAAATCAGGAACAAAAACAGAAGTTGCTGGAAAAGCTCAGCAGGTCTGGCAGCATCTGTGAAGAAAAAGTCAGAGTTAACGTTTTCAGGTCCGGTGACCCTTCCTGCCTTTCTAGACAGTGTTGTAAGCTAACACTCCCTTCTATTTAAAGTTTTGCAAGGGAACTTGATCATTTCCTAATAACAGAATGGTATTTGGCTCACAAAGTTACAGAGAATAAGTACAGTAGCTTCAATATGTTGTCTGCAGCAATTGAGGTAACCTTGTCAGGTGTATTTCAGCTTTTTTTAAAATTATAATTATAGGCACTAATTTATGAAAATCCTGGTCAAGAACTTGAGATTGAACTTTTTGATGAAGATCCAGACAAAGATGATTTTCTTGGCAGGTAAAAGAAATGATAATTTTGGTTATTGTTGAAAAAAATAAATCATTGAAATGCACTGCACTATATTCTGGGGAACCAGTGATGTTTCCATGTTGAACTGCATCTTTAATGGGGAGAGGTGAAGGTGATTAGTGCATCTGGGCAATTTCACGGATCAATGGAATAAAGTGGGCCACAGTCAAGGCCAGGGCAAAGGTTCATCGTAAGGTATGGTAAAAGTATTGGAGGCTAAAATCTTGGTTGATGGGGAGGGGATTTAACTGCCTTGCATGGTGATTTTTTTGTGGGAGATGAGTAGGGCGAGTCATTGAGAAGGATAGGTGGATGTGATTTTGATGATTAACCAGGGAGGTTGAAGGTGGGATGTTCCATTTCCTTAGTAATGCAGTGAACAGAAATAGGAAAAATAACAGAAAATGCTGGTACTTTTTGAAATTCATATTTACCTACACCAACAGGTTAAATGATACAATTTTAGAAGGGTTGCAAAAAGAGAAAAATATGGAGTTAGTTGTGGATTAATTATAGGAAGTGAAAAGACTGATTAATAAAGCAATCAACAATGAATGAGGGTTTCTAGGCATTCTCTCTCTCTCTCTCTCTCTCTCTCTCTCTCTGTCTCTCTGTCTCTCTCTCTCTCTCTCTCTCTCTCTCTCTCTCTCTCTCTGTCTCTGTCTCTCTGTCTCTCTTTTTCACTTTACGAAAGCTTTGGAAAAGGTACAGAAGAGATTGAGGATAGTTCCGCCAACTAGGAGCTTACAGTTACATGGCTAGGTTTGTTTGCTTCAGGGAAGACTGAGATGACATTTGATGTTTAAATAACTAAAGACAAAGTGTTCATATTGAGATGACCATTTTAAAGCAATT